GATTGGCAGATGTTGTTAGCATATAATATCCGGATAAAAAACCGGATTTATAACAACTAAAATAAAAATCCGGATTTATTATCCGCTTTACAAAACTAAAATCCGTTATCCTTTTATATCCGGATACATCCGGATATTGTAATCCGGATCCAAGCACTATTTTGGATATGACGATCAATTACTAAAATTGGGGTTTCCGGTAGTAAAAGTCGTAAAAGAGATATATAAATGGACTTTGGCGATTAAAGACGTTATCAGAGCAATGGGTGATATAGAGGGTTTAGGTAATATAGAAATTAAAATCAGTATACGTGCTATAAGTAATATATCACGGATAAGATGTATAATTCGCCTTATGTAAAAGAAAGTATATAATAAAGGCTTCTCGCCCTTGAGAGAAGATATCCTTGGTGATTCACATAAAGTCCGTCTCTTGATAATTTCATACCCTATATACCCGCTAAATAAAATACCTAGCCCTGATCTACTGCTTAAGTGGCATAAGTGGTACAATCGCTCTTTTCTTGGTTACGCGATATAGTAAAATCCGTGGTTGTTATTTTCCAACTGTCTTGACAGTTGTGGTTGTTTTCCAGTCTCCCGACGAACTGTGGATTCTGTGGTTGCCTAGTTCCGGGTTTTGTGTTATTGTTGAAGAACTCAAGCTGTAGTTTTGATTGAAAGAATTGTAGATTGAAAATATAAGTGTTGGAAGATCTCAATTAAAGATAAAAGAAGGCATACCTACGACCCAAAATCACCCTCTCCCAAATCTAAACGCCTCTCTTCGATAAGCCGATTGTAGGTTATGCACGCCTCGGGTCGTTTAGCCGATTTTCAGCTACACCATAAATCCTTCCGAATTTAGGCACTCATGTATAAGCTTGACATTAATTCAAAGTGGCCAATCAAAATCGTAGGACCTACATTAGAGATCGACCCGGACCCACGATTGGGAGGCCGATTTTCGCATGAAATAACAAAAGGTTTCACTGGGTAATACCTAAAGATGCTAGTGAAATAAAATTTGTGCGGTGAAATAATTTCACCACTATTGGTGAAACGGGTGTTGAATTGGCGAAATTGGTGCAACTAATTTCACCAGCATCTCTAGTAATACCACTCTTATGCAGATTTCTATTTGTTATTATGATTTTCAATTACACAAACACTACGTTATTGTGCTAGCTATGGATGCGTGTAATTGAATGATTTGTTATCATAAGCCCCTAAAAAAAATTCTTTTATGTACGTACGGTGCAAGAAATCTAAAAACCACAATTATACCATATACAAACAAAATTCAAACATCAATAAAGTGTGTGTAAATACTTTTAATGAAGTCGCTAATTTAAGAAATATTAAGTTTGATGTGTTACAGTCTGTAACCTATAATCAAGTTGCACTGACCAAAAAATTTAAATATTTAATTTCATAAGGTATAATTGTGGTTTTAAGATGATTTCTTGCACCGTACGTACGTACGCTGTAAATCTTGTATAATGTAAAGTGACAGTGAAATTTTCATTTTTTTATGGAATTATCAAGAAATATTTACTAGTCTACCTGACAAGTTTTCATTTTCTACATTATTAGAAGAAATAGATAATTTAAATTTCAGCATGGGTAAAAAAAAGCGTTTAAGATGCAACCATCCAAAGGAAAAGTTCGATCTTTGCTCGTCTTGTATCGCATCTCATTTTCCAGAAGAATCTGTATCTTGGACAAGTCGAAACCAAGAGATAGACACATTTATTAAATATACTCAAATATTAGCTCATGATTTAGGAACAGCAGCCTATTGGATAAGTTGGGAGGAGTTGACTAACATTAAACTGATTGGTAAAGGTGGTTTTGGTACAGTGTATTCTGCTCGATTGGTGAGAAGGATTTCCGAAGAAATACCGGATGAAATTGTTGTCTTAAAAACAGTTGGGGAGTCAAATGAGTTTTCAAACATCCTGACTGAGGCAAGATTAAAAATTTCTTTTTCTTTTGCCACGTAGTTTTAAACATTATAACTTGAATTATATTTCAATATTAGGCAGCCGCTTTATTTCATTGCTATAACAAGGAATCTAGCTCTTTCCGCATTCTGGGGTTTACACAAGACCCAACTAATATGCAATATTATGTTATAACTACATATGCAGAAAGTGGTGATTTAAACAAATACATGTGCGATAATTTGACTACTCTAACATGGATGGATAGATTATTTATAATATGGGATATTAGTTTGGATTTAGAGCGAATACATAAAGCCGGACTCATTCATCGTGACATTCATTCTGGTAACATCTTGCATACACGAGAAGTTCAGCATCTTCTTCGTGAAGTTCCTATACACACCGGAGTAGCATATATTGCAGATTTTGGCCTTTCAATGGCATCCAGCCGCATCAATCGTAGTGCATCGGAAATTTATGGTGTAATACCTTACATTGCTCCGGAAGTACTTCGTGGAGGGAGTGATTTTTATTCATCAAAATCAGACGTTTATAGTATTGGAATTATTATGTGGGAACTAACAAGTGGGAGACGACATTTGGATCCATGCCTCATGATATCAATTTATCTACAGCTATCTGTAAAGGGTTACGCCCACAACCTGTCCCAAATACATTACCTTTTTACCTTCAATTAATGCAAAATTGCTGGGATAATGATCCTCTAAAAAGACCAACAGCAAAAGAAATAAAGGACCAAGTGGGTAAGTGGTGCTGGCAGCCGAGTAAACGGAAAATACAACAGATGACTGATGCAGATGAAAGTCATTATCTTTCTCATACCTTATTGGATGATGAAAAAAAGAGTCCCGAGGCTAGTTTTACATCCAGAGCATTGCCATTGGTAACAAATATATCTTCCAGAGAAAACATGCTGGTAATAGCGTCATATGACGACCCCGGGTTCCATGACACAGGGAAAAAAGAAAAAAGAAAAAGAAAACATACTGGTAAGATACAATAAATAACTTTATATTTTAAAGATATCAATAATTTGACCTAGATTATATGTACGAACGTATTTATGTCGTCATGTACAGATACGTGATTAGGCACCTCATATATCTTTTAAAGAAAAACCGCATACCTAAATAGAAATCTTTGTAGTTATTCTAGTCGATTCGGTTAAAATCAGACATAGGTAATTTAAACTCCAGTAACATCGTCTTACGATAAATATCAATCTAATATTAATTTGTAATCTTCTAAGCATTATAAAAGATATGTAATTTACCTGATTTATATTGTTTGCAGTCTTCTTAAAGAAATACTTTCCTGAGTACTCCGTTACATTTATTATATATTCAATACTTGGACAAAAAAATAAAATAATATTCTCTTATTTTAATTTTGAAACCCAATTTGTATTATTTAATTTTATTTTATATAAAGGTTCAATTACAACAATCTAATAACATATTTTACCGTGTGAGAGATCAGGTATTATTATTACAGCCAGACCTCCCTAAATGCATATTTCCCAAATGCATAGTCTCTCTAAATGCATGGCCTTGTTTTGGCCCGACTCATATAGCACTTATGGATTTTTGCTTCCCTCTCTAGATGCAAGATTTTTTAGTTATGCATTTAGAGAAGTCTAACTGTACTAATAGCGCAATTGTTGTCAGTTTCATATAATAGTTGTACAATTGTTATACTGTAACAGCTAAAAATAATTGTTTATACCGGTTTATACCGATTTTGTAATGGTTATGTAATGGCTTTATAACAGCTATATAATGGGTTTATAATGCTTTTGAACATTCGAATTAATTCAAATTGAATCGAATGTTCGATTCCAACCTCTAAGCCGGAGTCAGCCGTTTGCATCACTAGCCCTAATTAACCCAGGACCGCAGTCCAGTGTAACTTTTTAAAAACTAGTCTTTGAACCAAAATGGACCAGCTATCTTTGTCATGTCGTAATATTTTAGCTGGCAAGAAAGCATCAAACTTCTGAACTATGTGAGAATTTTGTAACGCAAAATTTTTAATACAGTCATCCTCCTCTACAGTCACCTCTTATATAATCGCACTTCTTCATAAGCACTGTTTTTTGAAAAATCATTGGTAATACATTATTAAAAAAACTCTATATGGGATCTTTGCTAACAAAATGGGGTTCCGAGGCTATGTTGATTTTGTGAATAAAAATTAAATTTGCCAGCTATCTAGTTATTCAATTTGAATTTAATTTGTCGATTCTATTGAGATTTACAAAATAAAAAAAAATTTATTCAAATTGGATTGCTAGATGGCTGGCAAATTTAATTTTTATTCACAAAATCAACATAGCCTCGGAACCCCATTTTGTTAGCAAAGATCCCATATAATCACATTACTATTAAAATTTTATAGTCACATCTTTTTTATGCAAAACAAACAGCGTGATTATAGAGGAGGACGACTGTATTATATTATTCTTTAAATGTTCCTTCACTTCAGTAATGGAATTACCAAAGAAGTTTGCGAGGATGAATATTATGATATTAAAAAAGGTTCTAAATTGACGTACAAATGCTAAACATATATTTAATAAAGTTCTGAGCATTAAAATCGCTATTCAAGACTTTAGTAACTTTAGAACTTTCAGTAAATAAAATACAGTACATTATTGATCATACTGTATTTACAAAGTACCACCTTTTGCTATTCACTACTTGTAGCAGGTTACGTTGTAGCTTTTTATAACACTTCTGTATTTATCAATAAATTTGGATAAGCTTGCTATCGTAAGATTTTTTTTTACAGGGTTAAATGCATTAGAACTGAGAGCATTAAGTTATATTAGCCAATTCAAGTCTATAGTTAAATTATCAGCTGCACATTTTTTTTAATGAATGGACTATGACTTCATTAACAAAATTTTGGGTTGTTACACTAAGATACAAACATGCATGTAGACTAGTCATTTGAATCGATTGGCCTATAATCGGTTAATCGACCAGAACCGAACAAATTTCGGTTAACCGATTGAAGAAATTCTTAATCGGTTAACCCGTTACATTCGGTTGAAAATTGGGTAATCGGATGGCAAGTTTGATGTATTATGAAAATGATACAAGGAAAATGAATGAACGCAAAAATTCGAGAAAAGCTCCGAGAATTTCTGAAGATAAACCGAAAAGTAGAGATGGTTAATTTCAACCGATTGACAACCGGTTGAATAAAATAATTCGGTTCGGTTAACCGATTAAAGAAATTTTTCTCGGTTCAAATTAGTGATGCTGACAGATATGAAAGAATTTCAAAATTACGTGGTTGATGCGTTAATATAAGTAACTAATTAAAAACGTATTTATTGATATAGCTTTTGTACCACATTGACTAAACGTTAAATGTCCTCCGGCGCCGCACTCCAGACAATTAAAATTTGCATTTTATTTAGGCATGAATTTTTTTCCTTCTTTAAAAAAAAAAGACTCTGAACAACTTCGTTCACTTGGTAACAATTATGAATACGGTACTAGTGTTAAAAGGACGAAAAGAAGGCTTTTGAATATTATATGAAAGCAGCTGAATTGGGAAATTCGCAAGATGTTATCGTTATGGAATTGGAGTAGAGATGAATTATCAAAATCATTTGAATATCATAAGAGTTCTGCTGATTTGGATAATGCTGAAGCAATGTGTAGCATTTGTATGCGTTATGAATATGGAGAGGGGGTCGATCAAGATTATAATAATGCATTTGAAAACTATCAAAAATCTGCTAATATGGGTGCAAAAGCAGCAATGAATAATGTTGCTCTATGTTATCGAAACGGCACCGGTATAAAGAGAGATATCCAAAAAGCAAATTATTGGTTCAGAAAATATAGAAGTTTTTTGAAAACTAATAAGTCACCAGATCATATCAATCCTGAACTTAAGAAGATATTAGACGATGAGAATTTAGATTATCTTGGATTGATTATAATGAGTTCAGAAATATCCGGGAAATAGGAAAAGGAGGATTTGCAATTGTGTATTCTACTCGTTGGAATGATGAAAATAATGGTACGTGGTGGCATATTGCACTTAAAGTGATTCGTGATTCAGATGAAAATGAGCAAGAATTTATCCAGGAATTGAAGAATTATGTGAAATTGTTTACGAGTATCCTTCGTTCTTGAATTGTTTTGGATGTCAAGAAATAATTCTGGTGATTATATTATTGTTATGCAAAATGCACCAAAAGGTTCATTACGGCAAAATCTTGCAGAAGTATCACAATTAGATGGAAAGATAAATTGAATATACTGTATTATATAGCTTCGGATCTAGAGTCGATTCATTCGCAGGAAATAGTTCACAGAGGTTTACACAGTGGAAACATTTTATAAGAACATTCGAAAGACGCATTTTGGACTTTCTAAAGAAGTAAAGAAATGAAAATTTTGTGGAATTCTGCCATATATAGCACCTGAGGTATTGATTGGTCAGCCGTATACCCAAAAGTAAATATTTACAGCCTTGGAGTTATTGCGACAGAGATTTCGACCGGACAAAGAGCATTTGATGGAATTCCATTTAATGGTGATCTTGTATCAAGAATTATCGAAGGATTAAGACCTAAATGTTTAGGACCAGAATGTTATATTGGAATATCTTCAGAATTTACTGGTATAGAACAGGTTTTCAAATTTAGATTTAATTAAATACAATTTTGAATTCTACTGTATATATTACATAGTTAAAATTTCTTTTCACCTATCCTATAAATTTTAGATTATTGTTTTTATCATTTGTGTTTGGGTGGTTTTTTCATGAGCGTAAGAAATCTTTAAATTAATTTTATCTTTTTTTGTGTCGAGTTGTCCCAAAAATTCTTTAAATTTAATTTAACTAAGAGCAAGTAACTGTGTTGAAGAGGACAATTGTTTAAGAGACTGGCTATGCTTAGTTTTTGTAGTTTTGACGAAAAGTAATATAGGATTTTCTAATATACTAATTGTATAAAATGTTTTTTTTTAAAAAAAATGAATTGCAGTAATTATTTATTGAATCAAAAATATTTAGGCAATATATTTTTTTTTTACAATTATCTAGAATTATTAATTCTAAAATGATTGAGATTCCCAATTGCTAAACATCTTATCAAAGCGATTTTCATAAGAACGGTCTTTTCTATTTTTGACTTTCTATCTACTATAGTTGACCCTCTCAAAACTGATCCTGTCAAAACCGATAACCTGTCAAAACCGATCAAAAATTAATCTACCAAGTCCTATAAATCCAATAGTTTGTTATGTTTTCAAATCCGGTAACCTCTCAAAACTGATACAAAACCTGTCCACCATGCATACCGATTCTGAGAGGGTCGACTGTATTAGTGATTTAAGCCGCATAATTTTAGTCGGCTGGCTAAGCCAGCCGACCAAAAACATCGGCTAAGCGGCTAATAGTGGCTGGCTAGAAATAAGTTAGTTACGCAACCAAACTGACCAAAATTCCAGGTTGAAATAATCGAAATT